GAGAGAGAATTTCTCACAGCCTTCAATGAGAAGTGATTTTTAGTTAGATTGGTAGGTTTTGGGGGATCTTGAGAGCATGATGTCATGGGATGAAACTGAGAATCATATTTTAGGCTGAGCTGCAACGTGAGGAAAGCCTAATGTCTGAATGCATTCATAGCCTGGGAGGGAAGTTGCAGCAAATGCTGTGACAGTATTGTCTTCAAGGAGCAGGAAAAAGAAATGCCTGCTTGCTCCTTGGCTTTGAGCTCAGGCAGATAAATGTATCTAGATAGAGTCACGAATGGATCTGAAAAAAAGATTAATGGTTTAATTGTTGAAAAAACACTGTTTTAGGAATGTCGAAACAAAGTGAAATTTGAAATATTGAGGATGTTTAAGGACAGTGACTTTTTTTTTGTTTGTTTGTTTTGAAATGATTTATTTGCCTTGAATTTTATTTTTTTATTTTTCTTTGGTGGGGGGGCAGTGACTTGGGATATTATTAACTCCCTGTGGAATGTTCCTGTGATGGACAGCACAGAGGAGGAGCTTTCTGGGGAAATGCTGTAGCCTTGCCTATGAGGGATTGTCATCCTTAATGTTCAGTAGGATTTTGTTGTTTGCTTGCTTTCTGGAGGTTTCTTGGTTTCTTTCACCAGGAGATACCACTTGGAAAGTTTGCTCCAGGACAGACAGCCAATGGTGTCAACTCAGTTTTGTTTTAAGTACAATGTCAATTCACTTGTTTCGTCTGAAAAAAGCCATTCCTGGCCCAGCTGCTTTCGGCTATGCCACAATTTGACATCCCTTATGCTGTGCAGTTGTGACTGTTTTATCAGGCTGTGTGGTTAGCTGAATAACCACATGGTCCAGGTTAGAAACTGATCCCTTCTGGGGCTGCGGCAGTGAACACAGAGCTGCAGGCATCAAGGATGGCCATTTCTTAATCTAGTTTGACTTGAGAGCCATGGCTTTGCACAGTCACACCTGAATATTCAGCCACTTGGATGATTTCTCCCCACAAATCACTCGATGGCTGAGATGCTTTCCCCAGTTGTGCGCATGCTGTGTTGAAATAGCCACTTAGGACCAAACCTAGAGATGCTCTGCAGGTGTAGAGGTTGTTTTGACAACCTCAGGGAGCAAAGATGCCTCAAAGAGGCAGAGGTTACCTGCCTCTAGTGCTATGGGCTGGGTCCTCTGTGTGGCTTGGGGCACCCCTGCTGAGGTTGCTTGGGGCTGGACGTTGATAAATGTCTTTGAGATGCTGCAGCAAAGTCCTCCTCGTCCATTTGTGTCCATAGATGGCCAGAGCACAACAAGGTGAGCTGAACAGCAGGCAGAGGATGGGGACACCACACCTCCCTCTGCACATGGGGATGTTTAGGTACGGAGAAGATCACATCTTTCCTACTCTCTGCTGCACTGCCTGAAGTGGAGGGAGGCTGCTGCTGTCAGTCAGCAGCCTGTCTCGCTGCAGGCATTCCTGGCACAAGTCTCTTCAGGTTCGCTTCTTTGTGTGTAGTCAAATAATTCCCCCTCCAAGGAGCTCATTTGTCTTTCTTTTTCTTTCCAAGAGGCCAGGGCAGCTCCTGCTCCCCATCCTTCCCTCCCGAGAGAGGCTGAAACCCCCCTGCTCTTCGCTGTGGGCACCGCCGTGTGGGCCCAGCATAAGGTGACGTGGGAGATGGATTCTCTTGCACGTTCACCTCCACTTATATATATTTTTTGTGTCTGTAAAGCATTGCTTAGATGGATCCCGAGACTTTCTCATATCACATTTCCATGGGTCTGGTTTGACACCGCCCGGTGCCACCAGCTCCTAGGAGGTCCCAGGGCACAGCAGCTGGTCACGCAGCGGGCAACCTGCCCCGCTCCCCTGGCTGAGATGCAAGGGGCTGCTAGGAGTTGCCAAAATCCCTTAGGAGAGCTGAACAAACAGGGAGAGGAGGAGGGCTGCTGAAGAACAATGTCAGTTCCACCCCAAAAGGGATAAACTGGCCACAAACTGACCGGTGCAGCGGATTATTCTGGTGGAGGTACCATAAACGTGTGTTTTGACTGAGGGATGCTGCTTTTGGGGTTCTTTTGTGCCGGGAACACGGTGTGTAGGACCCACCGAAGGGGTTCTCTCCACCCCCCAACTGCAGGTGGGCGCAGTGCATGGAATTAGCTGGGGTTGTGTGTGTGCACATGTTTATTTTCTTATTGCTTTTGAAAGAGCAGCGTTGTGGTGGCTGACATCTAATCCTGAATTTGGGATACCTGACATTGTAAGGAGAAAACAAACCTTCCTGCACTTAAAATGAGTGGCGGGGCGGGTCTGGCCCCAGCGCCTTTCAGAACTCCTTTGACCTTGCGAGCAGACCCCCTGGGCTGACTGACAGCCTTTTACGGCCGCATTAGAGCTGAGCTGACCTTGTTTATCTGGGGATTCACCTGGGAGACAGCAGACATGTCCAGGGATATTAAGTCTCGAGCTGAAAATGTTTGCTCAGGTATTAGGGCTAGAGTTAATTTAGACTGAATGCCTCCTCAGTGGCACCAGCCGCTGCTCCGCGGGACAAGGCGCCCCCCGGCCGATGACAGTTGTTTTAGGCTTGCCTTAGACATCAGGCTCCTGAGGGTAGGGCTAAAGGGGAGCCATGTGGAGTCTTTCAGCTCACTCTGAGTTTCCTTTGTTTAATATCTCTTGGGTTTTTGGTGAAAAAACGAGCCCAGGTGAAAGGGGCACATTGGGTCCCCTTGGATGTCCTCCAGGGAAGGAAGCCGTCCCAGCAGATTGATTTCATCTGCCCTGCAGCCTCCAGTGCTGCTCTGTGCAGGCCAGCAGCATCCTTGGGCTGCAGTGGAGATGATCCTGGATGTGGGAAGAGCACGAATTTCTTTCTTTGGGCTGGTAGACCACTAACACTCAATGTGCATGGGTAGTTGAAGCTGCATCCCATCCCTGGGGAGGAACGAGTGTTGCTTCTCCCCATGTCCCTGCTCTTCCCCATGTTTTCCTCAGCTGCTCTTTGGGCTGAATCCATGGCACTGCTCACCCTGTGCTGGTGACAGTCCAGGTGTCCTGGCATTCCCATAAACCCGTGTAGGCCAGAACAAGCTCTTTTATTCCATATTGCTGTGATGCCTGAGCTCTGCTGGTTTATCCAGGAGCCGTCACCCCCCCTTGGTTCATCCAACGCTGCTGGAGCCGCGGGCAGGAGCCGGAGCACAGCAGATCTAACGTGTGTGCTGCAGGGAGCTGCAAGGCTGGGAAACACTTTCCTTGTGCTGTGGGGATCCCCTGGGGGGATCTGAGGTGCTCAGCATGGTGTGAGCACCGCTGTCTGTCTGTCCGGAGCTGGCCCAGCCTCAGCAGTGAGCCCAGCATGGAGCCCTTTGGCAGTGCGGCCGCTGCAGCCTCCCTGCACCAGGGGGCTGGGCTCGTACTGCTGAGCTATTTATTTAAGAAAAAAAATATTATCATTTCAGGCGTCGGCAGAGTGGGCTGTATCACCATTGTATCAACGATGTGGTTTTAAGGCACTTTCCTCCGCTTAAACGCTATTTGCCTTCTCCTTCAGGCAATTGAATTTAAGAAAACTCTGGTCACCCAGATCTGGTCGGGCAGATTCCTCCCCCTGAGCGCGATTCCCAGCAGGGATCAGCTCTGCAGAAACTCTGGGAGCTGTCACTTCAGTGCACCAGGCTGAATGGATTACCCAGCCCTGCATCGTCTGCTCTTTTATCTGCCCCAAAGCAGTGGGAAGCCAGGAGTTGCCCCCCGGGGTCCCTCCGAGCAGCGGTTTCTGGAGCCCGGGGTCAGGTGGCTGTTATTGTAGCTAAAGGTGTTTAACCCCAATTGATTTTGACAAGCCCTATTAGCAGATCCCCCAATTACTTATCGGGTTTTCAGAGGAACGCTGTCGATTTAAGGCTTGATGCGCTAACCCCGGCGCTGCTGACAGGACGTGGCAGGTACCAAACCTGCCTCGACGGATGGAAAAATAAAAAATAAATAAATCCCCATCGATCTTCAGGGCCAAATTCTGACCCTTCCCTGGGGCTGGGAGCTCTTGAGGGTGGCGGAGCCAAATTGCATGCTGAGAAGTGAGACAGGTGAAGTGCCCTGCCCTGCAAAGCACTGAGCATCCTTTGGGCAGCCCCTGGGTGACGTGTTTGTCAGACACGGCAGCATAAGAAAAAGGAGATTAGTGGCTATTTTGGCTCGCTCAAACCCCATGTTTATCACCAATGTGGTTGAATTCAGAGCCCCAAAACCATGCAGGCTGGGGCCCTGGCTGGGCAGGCAGAGGAGCTGCCCAGAGCCTTCTGCCGGTGAGAAACGCCCAGCGCTGAGCTCCGAGGCTCAGCTCCCAAGGACGGTTGAGATCATTTGGAAATGACTGGGAGTTATGTGACTAAGTAATCTGGGAGGATCTGGGCATAACACCACTGGCAAATTTCTTCTTATGGCATCGGGAGCTGTTGGCTCAGGGCTTCGCCACCCAGTCCAGCGAGTGACTCGTGAGTCCTCCGAGGTGTTTGGTAACAAACACCTTGTAAAATGCATAAAAACTTGAATTGCAGCGTTCACGGGTAATGTGCCAGACCAAGGGATCACTGCTGGTAGTTTGTTTTTTGCCTGTTGTTTGCAAGACAAATGAACTTTAGGGTTTTGCAGAGACAAAAGTGTTGAATACACCATTTACAGCCAGCTCCCTCATCCTTCAGTGAGTGGGCAGGTTTACAAGGCACTTCTTTAAAAGAGAAGAGGCCCTCATTAAGCAGCAGTCTGTTTGTTGTTTCTTGATCATTTGACAGCAATGCATAATCTATTTCTTGTTTTCTGTTATAGATATATTTGTATTATGGTGTTCATAACTTTCATACTGAAAACTGCCTGTATTCTTCCAAATAAAGAATGGCATTTATATGGAAAATATTTCTTCCAGATGATTACTTTCAAAACAGCCAGTTCCTTGCCCTGTTTGAGGTTATTTAAGCTTTTTTGTTTGTTTGTTTTATTGCAGGGGTTTTTGCTCAAGCCTCCAGAAATTTGGGCAACAGAGGCAGCTGTCGTTGGTGTTGGAAATGTCTGGTGGAGATTTTGGCAACTGATGTCCTGAGTAATCCTGGCCAAGTCATCTAAAGGTAAGGAACTCCTCCTTGCTGATTTCTGGGGGTTATTGGTCATCTGCAGAGGTGGCTCTGGTCCCTCTGTCTATCTGTGTGGTGAGAGCAGCGGTGGATCCATGCTCGTGTAAATGTGGAGCTGGTTGGCTTTGAGCAGGGGACATCTGCTCCAGCATCCCGTGTTTGGCAGCATCCCGTGGGCTTTCTGGGCTCTCAGGCCTTGAAGTGACCTGCAAACCTCTGTTTTGGGTGTTCTTTCTTCTCTTGTCCGGAGCTGCATCGTTTAGGAAAGTGCTGATGTCGATGTGAAAAGTCCTGGCGATGGCTGGGCTGGGTCACGGGGCAGGAACAAATCACTTTCCCACTAGGGAAAGGTCATCTGTGAAATTTTATGGACAGTTCCCCTGTTCTCCAAATACCCTCTCCCCCTGGCCTTTTTTTTTAATATTTTTTTTTTTCCGTGTGTAATTGCGTGTCAGACCAAGTGCACTCAGAATGTGAGCAGGGTCTGATACAAGGAGGGTGAAATGAGATAATCCATGTTTTCATCATCCATAGGCCTCTCTTTTCACAGCCCGTGGGCCGTACTTTATTAGGCTGAGCAGCTCTGGGCCTGCAAGAAAGAGGAGGACTTTCTCATCCCGATGAGAATGGGGCAGTGAATGGATTCCAAGTGTTTACTCAGCATTTGTCTCGTGCTTTATCAAAGGCATGAGGAGGAGGTGCCGACAGACCTTTTGTCCCGCTGATGTGTTATGACAATGTTCCATGAATATGCAGAATGGCAGAAGGGATTAGAGCCAGTACAATTCCCCTCCGGCGCTGCTTTTTTTTCTTTTTTTTTTTTTTTTTTCTTTTTCCTTTTTTTATTTTTGCCTGGGATGTTCAGGGGTTTAAGGGTGACCTGCTCGCAGTCAGGGCACTAAACATCAGATTTCCCCGCAGATAGGGGTGTAAAAATCCCACACTTGTCCAAAGCTGTTAGCATCTGGCTCGAAGGTTGGGCTGCCGTGGTCACTGGCTGCTCTTTATGAAGCTTGGGCTGGCAGGAGCTGCCTGGCTGAGAGCTTTGTGTTTCAGGAGACAGGGGGATATTGGGGCGTAATTAAAACCTGAGTTGATCAGTGACACGTGAAACCCAGGCCGATGGTGATGTGGCTGCTGCTTTTCTCTTGGTGTGGGCTGGCAGCGGTGCCTCGCCGTGCTCTGCTGCTGCTTCCCCAAGTCCTGGTCCAGGCTGCCAGGCCAAGGGATAACTGCTGGTAGGTTTTTTGCCTGTTGTTTGCAAGAATTTGGGTGTCGTTCAGTGGTGCTGGCATCAGGCAGTGATGCTCTCCATGCTCTGAGCGCTTCCCTTTGTCTGTATGGGTTAATGAGTTAATGCAGCTGTGAGGCAGGTGGTGGACATTATCTCCCTTTTCAATACGATGCTGCAGCAGGTAGGAGGGAGCAGGCACGGTGCTGGAGCCCTGGGCATAAAACCAAGCTTTCCTCTTGTGTTTCTAATCCTTCTTCTCCAAGTGATGCTGCTGAGCGATGGCCAGCAGCCGTGAGCCCGTCCTGGTTGTGATGTGTTTCTCCTGTGTAGCTGAGCGAAGGTCTTCCACCTGAAAAAATATTCTCCACTGGTTTCCTAAATCTTTTGTCTCCTTCCCATCCTGTTCCCCAGATGGTTTGAGGGGGAGCTCCCCAGATACACGAGGTTAATGGTGACTTTGTGTCCTGGCTGGGTCCTATCCCGGGTGTCGCTGTGGTTGCTGTGCGTGGGGCTGCCAAGCTGGTGACTGGAGAGCACGGAGGGGAAAAACAGCGGGGAAGGAGGCAGAGCCTCCCTGAAGTCCTGGCACCATCCATGGGGAGGTGGTGCCCACAGCCACGGCACGCGTCGCGGCTTGCTGGCATCCCTCTCCAGCCACTTGGGAACGCAGGCAGTAAGTAACCTAATGAATTTTGATGCAATTAGCCCAATGCCAGCTCTTGGCTAGTGGCCACTGAGAGTCCTTGGAGATGGCTCCGGCGTCTGCTGTGCCCACTGCCTGCCCCTGCTGCCTGCAAGGGGTCCGGGCAGCACTGGGCTGTGTTCCTGGCACACCCGGACCCCAAACTCCTTGGGCTGGTTGTTCAGGCAGCCAAATTCTTGAGGCTGGCTTGAAAAGGAGCAGGGAGCTTTTGCCATCTGTCTGCTTTCAGCACCGTCAGCAGTGCAAGCTCTGCCTTTGCCCTCTGGGCTGCGTGTGGAGGATCGCAGTGCTCACGCGTAAGGGAAGAACAATGAAGTGTGAACAAATCCTTCCCCCTCGGAGAAACCTGTGATGAAAACACGATTAGCAGCCCTGGGAAGGAGGCCTCGGAACTGGTCTGGGTGCCAACCCTGCGTGGGCCAAGGGGATTTCCTGATGCCAGCTGGGCAAAGCAGTGACCTGAGTCAGAGCGCATGGGATGAGGGCTGGGAGCAGGAAAAGCAGGTTGGGGAAAAGCATGTGTGAAGGCAAAAAGCCACCAGAAAGAGGGGTGAGCTTGGAGCTCCAGCAAAGAGGCCAAGGCTGCCTGGCATCACCTGTTTCTCACCCAAGCAGAAGCAATTTAGCCAAGCCCATAGCTTGGTGAGCCGGGATGCAGCTGTATCCACCACGGCCCCATCACCCAGCGGGACAGGGCCGGGGCAGGAGCAAAAGCAGTGTGGTGTGGGCCTCCTGAGCAGCTACCCCAGAGCTAGGGGCACTCGGTGCTGACAGAAGCAACCCAAATCTGGGTGCTGGTGCCAGCTGCCCACCTGCATCCAACACTGGTGTGATACAGATTCCCATCTCAGCTGGAGGACCCTGCTGCCCACAGGTGCTTTGGAAGCGGTAGGTGGGAAGGAGCTGATTGAATCCTTGTGAGCCACCCAAATAAAAAGGTTTCTGGGTTGCTTCTGCCAGCCCCAGGTGGCACAGGGCAAGGCTAGCTTTGGCTAGGAGCAATGTGTGATAACACTCTGATTCATGCCTGTCCAGTCTGATCTGAGTCTGAATCATCTCTCTTCCCTTATCCTGAGGAAATTACGTGATGAGCATGGGCCTGTTGTGGCTGGAGATCCTCTTCTTTCACCATACGCACTTTGAAGTCACTGTATGAAATTTTAGTCACTGGACACTTGCGGAGTCAGAGATCCGAGGTCTCTACAACCTGAGCTGTGTTGTCTCCCCTCCAGCCAGCCTTTTTCTGCACCAGCACAGACGTGTGCTGAGATGTCCCCATTTGGGGCAGGAGAGCTGGGAAGAGGCGTTGGGGAACACAAGGGCAGGTGCCTTGCTCCTGGACTTGCTTCTTCTCTTGCCAGACTTTAGGGTGCCCAGCAGAGGTATCGTGCTTGGCTGCCAGCCCTTGGCTCCCCAATAGCTCTGTGGGCCTTGAAAACTTCTCCAGGCAAGCATATGGGGCTGGTTGGAGGATCTCTGCTCTTCTTCCCCCCAGATCATCATCAACATGAGGCCTCAGCTCTGCACCCTTGCTGGGACATGCTCCCAGCTCCATCCCCAAATCCTACCCAGCTTCCAGCCACCAGCTCCTGGGCACCCCGCACCTCCAGCTGAGATCCCTCCTCCTGCACTACCAGGAGGGGACTGACAGAGGTGCCTGGCCCAGCCAGGAGGGATTAAAGGGCTTTTGTTTCACAAGCATTTTAAGCAGTGTGAAAGAAGCCAACCTGCCAGGCTGGCTGCAGGCAGATCGCATCGGAGGTATAAGACAGGGAAATTTTCCACGGCAGAGGTGTGCTCCTGGCCTAAGGGGAGGGAAAAGGCTATTGTGTTTGGAGTGAATGGAATCGCTCCTGGCAGGAGCATTAAACAGAGGAAGAAGAATTGGCAGTGAGCTAGCGAGGTGGGATTTTACCTGTCTGCCTGGGCTTGCAGCTAATCAGTCCAGCAGTTAGAGGAGGGTAAAGGAAGGATGAGGGAAAAGGAAACTTTTGCAGTGAAATCCTTGCCTGGGAGCCCTGATGTGCAGCGTTTGGGCGTCAGTCCCTTGATTTGACTGAAAAATGCAAGCCTCGGTGGGTTTGGGATGGGATGCAGACTGTACAGCAAACTTGCCTCTTGCATGACAGCCAGCAAGTGCTGGGGCAGCAGCAGAGGCTTGTTTGCAGAAGCTTTCAGCAGACCTGGTGGGCCAGGTTCTCCCACGGACCTGCTGCCTGTTTACATGGTGAAAACACTACGGTTCTGTGTGAGCCTCATGAAACAGCCCTGCAGGGCGCTGAGCTTTAATTGCCTACCTCGCATCCCCCGGAGAAACCTGGATGGTGCGCACCTGGGTTCTGCTGGGAAGGGATGGCTGTTAAGGAGGTGGTTGGAAAGTCGGAGAGCAAGGCTCCTTGTAAAGATCTGCTCTCGCAGGGGTTGTCCTCAGGAATTTGTGTCACGGTTTGTTCCACCGCCTCTTTTGACTAAGGGTAATGGGAAGGGCAGCAGAGCCAGCAGGGTGAGGCACAGCTCAGCATGGCCCTCCTGCCTGTCCCCTTCTTTGGCTTGGGTTTTTTGGACATGAGGTATGGAGCTGGGGCATTTTCCTTTTTCCAGGAAAAAGGAAAATTAAATATTGATTATCACAAATGTTGGTATTTGTCTTTGAATGAACAAACCATAAACACACCAAAGTTTTTAAAAGCCAAAGCTCTAAAACTCCAAACCAAGCTTTGTCCCAGTCATGGTTTTCAAAGTCTTTTAGAATCTTTTACATTTTCCCTCAAGTTTAAACAGATACTTCTGTTAAGGGTACTATTTTTTTGTAAACAGAAAACAGGAGAAAAGCATTTATTTTTCTTTCTTCCCCTTTATTCCTGTAGGAATGAAAGAAATCTTCAATTTTTATATGAAATATAATTCTGAGCAGAAAATCTTAAATAGTTGAAGTGGAAAAAAACTTCACCACGAGGGTGAAGAAGGGTTTACAAGTTCCGTTCTTTGGAAGTTTTTCCCCAGTTTGGTAAATGCTTTGCCTGTACCATACCCATCCTGTTAGTGAGGAAATGATTTGCCTGGGTGTTGCTGCGCCGTTACCTACAAATACCCTGGTGGCTGAGTTAGTCCACGAGAAGTGCTCGCTCGCTGTTGTCACCTCCTTCTGTGTCTGGGAGAACTGCACAGCCGGTGCTTGTGTGGCTTCCAGCACAGGACATCCGCGTGTGTGTGGTTGGTGGTAGCTGATAGGGGTATTTCGGGGCAGGTTTGAGCCCCGTTGGGAGGCCACGTATCATCGGAACATAGCTCAGGGGCTGGAGGATGCGTTGGGCTGCTCACCTGCTCCGCTGGCTGCTGCTGGGTGGGGTCCTATCCTCCCTTCCCCAGGGTCCCGTTACGGTGCCAAGGACGGAGCAGGCAGCAGATGCTGGCAAAGCTTGCACATGCTTAGCAAACTTGACTTACTCCTTCTGCATTGCCTTGTTTTAAAGAGAGAGACAGGTCTCGCTTGTGGTAGCTGTTTTTATTACAGCCTTCCAGCTTTTTATAAAATGACTAGGGCAGAAAGAGCACGTGGAGTGAGGAAGCATAGGTGGGAATTTGTCTGTCTGTGTTGGCTTTCCTCGTTCAGCAGTAGGGCTCGGTCTGGTTCCTGCCCACCTCTGTCCTGCTCTGTCCGTCTGTCACACCTACTCCACCACCCAGCTCCTACCCCTGCGAGGCTGGGAGCTGTCTGAACGCTCCCAACAGCTTCCCAGTAACTGCTCAGCACCTGGAGCCTCGGCCAGCACAGGGCCAGGGCTTCTCCCGGGGTTCCCAGCGTTACAAAGGAGCAGGGCCTTGGACAAGGGTGAGCCTTCATCTCCTGCTGTGCAGATGAGACCTCTTCTCCTTTATGTCATCTCAGGTAGCTCCAGCCCCAGCCAGTGTGGGTTTTTCATTTCCCATTATTTTTCTGATGTTTAGACCACCTAAAAAAAAATGATAATAATTGCTTGTGAGTCTAACTGAGAAAAGCTGTTCCTTCTTTACACCCCTTAACTTTTTCCCTTCCAAACTGCTTCTCACTAAATCAATATACACAAAAATCTTTGTGTCTGCATTAAAGAAAAAAAGTCATGCTTGCAAAGCTGAAGGTTTCCACCCCCCTCCAGCCCCCGGGGGTAATTTTCTTTGTTCTTCACGGAATGGTTTGAATGACTCCCTTAGCCTTCGTGGGCTTCTCACCTTCTTCAGTGCCTGGACAAGTCAGATCCTCAGCCTGTGCGTCACGAAGTGTCCGACACTCAGATACACACTCAACTTTACTGCTCCAGGAGTGTGCATTTAGAGTATTTGTCCTTTTCCCCCTGTTCTCCCAAGGGAATTAAGGATCCCTGCCATGCTCTTGCTTTGCAGAAAGGCACAGTTCTGTCCCCTGAGTTGCCCCTCTTCTTGCTCATGTTTGGAAGAAGGGAAACTGAGGCAGCTTACCCCAGCACGCCCAGTGGCTGACCAGGACTGGACCCAGCACAGCTCTGCCAGAGCCCGCGCTGCCCTGCCTGAGCCCTGGCGAGGGCAGAAGATGAACCAGGAACATCTGCAGAGAAAATAAGAACAAAAGCAGACGCAGACACAAGTGAGGGAACAAGTGACAGTGGGAAATAAACCGGGCAATGAATTCTTGCTTGAACTGTAAAATAAAACCACTAGGAGATGCTTAAGGAAGATGGGATGGAGAATCTTATTTTAAAAAGATTAGTGGCTTTTTATTTCAAAAAGGAGAGGAAGATGATGGTGCGATCCGAGCCACATCTCCGTGCCTCTGTGGAAAAAGGCTTTTGTCCTGCTGTCTTCTAGGAAATGCTTTTAATCAAATTACGAAGTTGAAGGCTGTGACTTTTACTACTCACAGGATAGGAGGGATCTGCCACCATCTGCCACCCAGCAGGGCTTCCTGAGTGCCACCTTCAGCCTCGGTGATGGAGAGCCCCCTCTTTCCCCTGTCTGTCTCCCAAATGCCATCCCTGCCCCGCAGCCCTCGTACCTGCGGGCAGCCCCGAGCTCTGCGCATCCCTTTCCACTCTCCCACGGGGAAACGAAATAAAACACAAAATAAAAGCTTGGTTCCCTTACCCAGGAGGCTGCACAGTGACTAACCGGAGGGTTTGATGCAGAGCAGCCCCGGCTCTCTCCATCGCTGCGCCCTGGCCGCCTCGGAGCGCTTTTCCCAGGGAAGAACTCAACGAAATCCGGGCAGCGGGGGGGCTGGGGGGCAGCCTTACCTGCTCTGCTGCTGGCGGCCGGCCGTGGGATAAAACTCGCCCTGGGTCTGGCCACCGGGGCTCCGTTTAATTTCCCCCCGAGCTCGGGAAAACCGAGCGAGCGCCCGGGCGGATGGCGCAGCCCGCTGGGGAGCGGGTTTCCCCCGGGGGCCTCGCTGCCAAAGACGGCCCCAGCGAGGGGCCGGGGGGGTTTGCCCGTGGGAGACAGGTCCCGGGCTCTCCCCCCCCCCCCCCTTTCCATCAGAGGGCTCGGCTGGGCCGGGCCGGGCTCCGCACGCCCCCGGGGGTGGGCAGGGGGGCGGCCGCCCTATATATTGCAAAGCAGCTCGGGGCCCGGCTCCCCATCGCCGGGAGCTGCCGCGGCGCCTGCCCCCTCTCCCCTTCCCCTTCCCCTCCCTCTCCCCCAGCCCTCGGGGGGGGCTTTTTCTCCCGTAGCCCCCCCCACTTACCCCCATCCCTCCGGCCGTATATGACCGCGGCCGGCTTCCCCTGCCTGCGAGGCATGTGCACGCTGCCGGCCCCCAGCCCTGCCGCCAGTCCCGGCTCCCCCGGGCCCCCCCGGGGGTCGCCCCCAGCCTGCCAGGCGCCCCCGGTGAAGCCGGAGCCGAGGGGCGGCGGGGGCAGCCCCCCAGCTCCTCTTCCTCCTCCTCTGCCCCCCGAGGAGCCTCCGCCACCAGCCGGGGGTCGCCGGAGGAAGCGGCCGGTGCAGCGGGGCAAGCCCCCCTACTCCTACATCGCCCTCATCGCCATGGCCATCGCCAACGCCGCCGAGAGGAAGCTGACCCTGGGGGGCATCTACAAGTTCATCACCGAGCGCTTCCCCTTCTACCGGGAGAACCCCAAGAAGTGGCAGAACAGCATCCGCCACAACCTCACCCTCAACGACTGCTTCGTCAAGATCCCCCGCGAGCCCGGCCACCCGGGCAAGGGCAACTACTGGACGCTGGACCCGGCGGCCGAGGACATGTTCGACAACGGCAGCTTCCTGCGCCGGAGGAAGCGCTTCAAGCGCACCGACATCACCACCTACCCCGGCTACATGCAGAACTCCAGTGCCTTCACCCCGCCGCCCGCCGCCCGCCCCGTGGCACCCGCTGCTCCCTACCCCAATGCCCTCTGCTCGCCCGGCTACGGCCCCCAGCTCTCTGGTGCCGTTTTCCATCCTTACGGGGCCGGAGCAGCCCCGCAGGCGCAGCACCCCAGGATGTTCAGCATCGACAGCCTCATCAGCGGGCAGCAGGCCCTGCAGCCCTCGCCGCCTGCCGAGCTGGGCCACCCCTCGTTGGGTTTATCCGGGGCTGAGCTGGCCCCCAGCTGCTCCGCCGGCGCCTCCGAGCCTCCCTGCTTCCAGCCTCAGCCCGTCAGCCCCGGCTTGCTGGGCCGGCCTGGCCCCAACACCTTGCCTTACCCCTACGCTGCCTCACCTCCTCACCTGCCCGTGGGGCAGGGCGGGTATTCACCCGGCAGCCCGCAGCTCTATGGGGCTCCCAACAGGCTGACCCTGCCCGCCATGCGCCCCACAGCCTGCGCCGAGCACAGGCGAGCAGCTCCTGGGGCTCCCCACCACGTCGCCCCTCGGCCAGTTTGGCTCCAGCAACGCCTATGTCAGGCAGCCCAATTTCCCCGCCGGCCTCGAGCGGTACATGTGATGGGGCTTGGGGAGCACGGACGGGTGCCCCGAGGTGGCCTGTGGGCATGGCCTGGACACACGGACACTGCCCTGTCGTGGGATCGGCTGGGTGGGGTGGGGGGGTCCCGGTCTTTGGCTGTGCATGGACACAAAGCCCCGTGCACGGTGCAGGGGGCCAAACTCCTCTCTTTCCCAGCTGGTTTTTAACTGGAGAGAAGGGGATGGATTTTGCTGCCGTGTTCTCTCCTGGCAGTGATGCTCTCCATGCCCAGGGGTGTCTGTTTCTCACCCGGCTGTGCCCGGGTGGAGCAGGCCACCCCGCAGCACCCCGGGTGAGGCAGAGCTTGCCCAGGAGCTCAGTGCGTGGTGGGACAGGCAGGAACCCAGAGAGCAGAAAATGTCCCAAAACGAGGCTTTTTCCTCTCTTCCCTGGGTGCCTCCTCCAGAACTGGAATGAGCTACCAAAAAAAAAAAATCCCACTACTAAAGCAATTCACTGGATTTTAAATGAATATTTAAGATGCTTACCCTTTCCTTCCCTGTAGGAAAAAAAAAAAGAAAAAACCTCATTCCTGACTACTTCTTTTTACTATTTTTAAAAATGACTTTTATTGTTAGAAAGGACTTTTTTAAAATAAAGCTTTTCCTTCCAACATGTCCAGTGCTGCTGTTCCTCTGGCCCCAGCCAGGCCTTCCCTGGAGGAAACCCATTGCTCCTGTGACCGGGGGAAGGCAGACTTGTGCTGCTGTCTGACACCACCTCGTCCTACATTTTTAGTGATGCTTTTTAAAGCTATTTTACTATGATTTATAAAAAAATGAATGGGAACTAACCACTGCCGAGCTGTGCGATGGTTGCAGTCATCACGAGGGAGCTGAGAGGTTTGCCCACGCTGTTCTTGCTGGACCCGATGGTTTCCATCTGTGTAGCAGGGAGCGTGTCTTCCCTCCCCGAAATCCCTTGCAGGTAAACCTGTGATTTAGCACATCAGGTTAGGAGATCGTAGCTTTCCTTCCTAGGCACAAAATCGATTAAAATCCCAGTCTGTTCACTGCCCAGCCTGGTGCTCTTTATTTATAGGACCGTCCAGCCAGAGTGCTCAGCCAGGCTAGGAGGCAGGACTCCCCGCCACTGGTTGCTGGATTCAGCTTTTCTTGTCTAAACACCCTCCAGGTAAAAGCAACTGATTTCCCCCATCACTGCAGGGAGTGCTCTGAAGCAGAGCGGTTCCCACAGCCCTTAAGGAGGAGCTGGGTGTCACTGGGGTGGCGGTGCAGACCCGAGCATCTCATCCCCCGACTGCTGTCTGTGACCAAAAGCTGTGTGCAGGGCACTGTCGGGGCTTTTCTTTTCTCGGTCTCCTTAAAAATGGGGATTCACCTGTCTGTAAAAACCTCCTGGCTCTGGTCTGCTCCTGCTTTGTCTGGTTTCTCCTTTCAGCTCCCCCGCTGCTCCCAGCAGCAGCTTCTGTGCTTCTCGCTTACTGATAGCCCTGCTCGGAAAGGGCTGGGTGAGAAAACTTTTCCCCTGAAAATATTTCTGCTTTCTATAAAAGCTGTCTATGGGTAGAGATTTTTTACCTCCAGAAAGCCTGCAAAGTGCTGTCCTGTACGCGGCGCACAGCGGGGCACAGCCCGGCACTGGTGCAAAAGGGAATGGGTGCTGGGTGGCGGGGGTGGGCAGGTGATGCTGAAGCTCCCCGGGCTTGGTGCTAGGATATCTGGCCCCCTGCTCCAACCCAGTCCCCCCAGAGCCTTGCAGGGTGAGCAGTGGGTGTCAGAAAAGGTTTTCAATGCTGTCGGATCGCCTGCAGGCAGCAGGCAGTGGGCCCTGTGTTGCCAAAGAGGCTGAAAGCACGGGGAACAAACCCCTTTTCTTCTCCCTACAGATATTAATCCCCACATGCACAAACCTCTGGCACTCGTATTGGGATTGTCATTAAACTAATGCCTTAAGAGTGTCTTCTTGGTTAACTTAATGTATCCCAACTAGGCTCTTAAGCTTTCGTTTCAAAGCTTTGTTTACAGTTAGGGTGAATCTAGCAAATGAGTAGGATTAAAGTGTCATGTAAAGCATAAGCCTTGCTGGGACAGAGTAGTTTTAAGCTTTGTAAAGTTTATACCTGCGCCCTTTGTCTGTTTTAGTGTCTTTTCAGTGTCCCTACTCAGTGAATAAGAGGGATTTTGAATGAAACGGGAGCAATTATCACCCAGATTTTGGCTGTGAAACCAAGTCTCCTTTGAAATCCTCCCCTCTTTATTTAGCAGCAGCCGGAGAGTTCAGGTGATATTAAGTAGTGGCAGTCAGAGCCGTCCTCATCTTACTCCAGAAAGCCAGAGGCTAAACTTTGTTTGCTCTTCTCCATGGTGGAATGAGCGTGGTCCTTTGGGATCAGATGTGCCAGAGAGGTTTGTCTGGAGATCCGGGCAGATGGCTTCTCGGAGGATGCCGTGGTAAATTGGGCAGGATTCAGGTCGCTCAGCCTGGATGTTGGGAGCCTTGTACCCAAGCTTTGCTCCCATTGACAGCTAAAGCATTTTTTCTCTCAGAAACAGCAGCTGCCCGGGGAGATCTGGCCAGGCTGCCGCGGGTGCCTGCGTACGGCGGCGTTCTGCTCGTCTCATGCGTGCCCCAAATTCCTGCTGCTTCCCCACAGGTTAAAACAAGCAACGCCGAGTGCTCTTTTCAGGTGCTATTCCCAAGCTACAAATAGCGTTTTTCCACTTGGGTGCAAACAAACACATGAGCTGAAATTTTAGAAGCACGTTTCCTGGAGGATTGGTCGGTCCCTCCGGTAGGGTTGGGTTCTGGCTGGATGCTGCCAGGTGTCCGCTGGCAGTCCCGGTGCTGGAAATTGTAGATCAGAAGGAAGTTTTATTCCAGGTGATGCTTTGTCCTGTGCACATGCACCACTTGGAGACGGACAGAAGTTTTGGTCCCAAAGGGACCCAAAGGAACCCAAAGGGACCCAAAGGGACCCAAAGGAACCAAAAGGTCAGGACTCAGCCATTAGGGCCACCCGGTGATGGAGTGATGAGTGCAGTGGGACCAGCAGAAATGTGCTCCGCCGGCCGATGGTGAATTCCTAACGAAGTAGAACAGGGGACACAGCGCCGGCTGTGGGGACAGGGGGTCTGTCCCCCGCGGTGGCAGGGGCGAGGTGGCCGGGGTGGCAGCCGCCGTGCTCGGGCCAACACTGACCTCCAGTGGAAAGCCCTGGGAAGCCGCTCCCGGCCGGCGACCGGGGGGGCTCAGGGGGCACCCGGATCGTCCTCGTCGTCCCCACAATGGGCAAGGGGACACGGGGGGGCTCCGTGTGTGGCCCGTTGGGGTTTGGGGCACGGCCGAGACCAGGAGGAGATGGGGTTTGCTCAGGGAGGGTCACCACTAAACACGTCAGGTTGGGAAACTCCCAAAGCACCATTTATCAAATCTGGGAAAGGATCTCTCAGGATACACTCTCCTTTACCCTTTTTCGAAGTATTTGCTGCGGGACACAGTCTGTGCACTGGGACTGCTGAAGTGCCCTTGCTCAGGGCAGGCCCCAGGTTTCAGCAGAGGAATTAACTGACCAGCACAGCTCACACCAACCCAGGTGCCTGGTTATATCCTTCTCAGATGTTCCCTGCTTGAAATACCAGAGACTGAGTAATAATAAGGTGCCCGTGCTGCACCACAGCATTTTCATCTAAAAAAAGGTGCTTCACGTGGAGGTGTAACTCTTCTGAGCATCCCGCCTGGTGCTTGTCCACTGTGCGACGAGCTTGCTGGTGAGCAAACAGAAAGCTGCCGGACCCTTGGGAACCACACGTTTCACCCCCCAAAAGTACCCACAGACACAAGTAGGGACCATTTTGCTGCCAGCCCCTAAACATCCCAGAGCAGCTTTGCATTCCCATCACACAGAGATGGCCAACGCGCTCACCGCAGTGTTACCTGCTGCTCCAGAGCCAGCACCACGAGGTGGCAGCCAGGTGACGCCCAGGACGAGGTCCCACAGCCCACCCTCAGCTCTCTGGACAGACCCCACCATCTGCAGACCATCCCCAAGCACCATTTATCTATTCCCAACCCTCGGCCGCCCTGCGGTGCTGCTTTAGGCGCGCATCCGTCTCCCCCCGGCCCTTTCTTTGCAGGCTGTCTGCTGCTTGGGTTCTCCCTCAGCTGATGCTCGCCCTCTAAGTATAATTGCAATACAAAGTAGTTTCAGAGTAGCGTGCAATAGTGGCTAATTATTTGGAACAATTATACATAACAAAGACAGAGCCAAGCAGCAAGAGGGCTTAATTGTCTGGCCAAGCATGAAATAGCACAGGATTATCGCTGACAGGGGGAGGGGGTGCAGCGGAGGAGAATCGCCCCATAGAATAGGCAAGAATCCAGGCTGCTTGGGAAGGCAAAGTTTATTGAAGAACTTGAAAATTCCCCTTTGAAGCATCTTCTGAAATGCCAGAGAAGACATGAAAAGGATAATGACCCAGAATATGGGCTTAGCACACAAATCCCCGCACTGACAGACTCCAGGCCTGCAGACGCTTAAGCACATGCTTAAATTTTAAGCACATGAATAGTCCCCTTTGACGGCTCACGTGCTTAGAGTTAAGCTTAGGCATAAGTGTTTGTAGGATCGGAGCCCAGATTTTTATTACAACTAGGCTCCTCTCGGCCATGGCAGGAAATAAAAGGCCTGCAAAGCGCGCGAGCTTCCCGCGTGGTGCCGTGAAGCCCTTTGCTCTGTACGAGCACCGTGCCCAGCCGCAGGGACACCAGCATTGGGACAGCAGCCACGAGGTGGTGAGGAGCAGTGCGGGCAGGAGAGGTGCAGGGAAAAATCCTAGAGGACACCAGGTTTGTGGCACCTGCTGCCCCACCTGCTCCCACATTGCATCTTCTGGCCCCGCGGGTGCCTGGTGGGTTGGTGAGGGTGCCCGTGGCGAGTCAAGCACAAAGGAGATTTTTCTCAGGAACAATGTGCAGACGTGGATCTGCCCTCTGTGGGGCCACAGCTCCATCCCCAGCACTGCCCGGGCCCCACGGGGTGGGAGCTGCTGGGCCAGGAGGTGACACCGCCACCGTCCCCCTTCACCTTCACACCTGTGGGCTTGGGACTGCTGCTAGCTGCCACTGGAGGGCATTATATGATATATACAGTCCCCTCGCCCCGTGGTACGTGCAGCCTGTTTCTCAGAGGCAGGGATGGCAGAGCATGGGATATGGGAAGCCACGGACTGGCCCCACAGCGCTCACTGGGGCACCTCGGTGCATCGCCATCCCTCCGCGACGTGCCTGCGCAGCAGCCCGGAGCTGCTGCAGGGCACGGGAGGAGGATTTTCTCCCAAGCCAGAGGTTAATTATTCTTTATTGGATAATTTTCAGCTGCCGGTGCTGGCAGTGAAGGGGATTTCCTCTAGGTGGCACGCTTATCTCTGCGCTGGGAGGGAAGGGAGCCCCGGCAGCCTGCTGGGGAGCCAGAAGCACGGGCGCAGCGCTCAGCCTGCCCGCGTCCCAGCAGCAGGGAGCAGACGGTGTGCCCCGACACCTCCCGGCCCCGTATTGCTGCCAGAACTCGGCATCGAGGTCTGGAAAATGGTAATAAAAATAATTTTTAACAAAGGAATTTCAAATTAAGCGTCGGTGGGATGCGGCTGGCTGGGTAACGCCGCGCACCCACCCCGCACAGGTCGGGTCTATCCAAGAAATGCAAACCCAGAGGTGAAACGCCAGCCCTGCCCTTCCTCCTGCACTCCCTGGTGCTGCATCTTCCACCCGAGCGGTGCAGCTCCCTCGTCTCAGCCAGGACGAGCATTAATTTTAATCTGCGCGTTGACAGGCTTCCCCTCTCGCATCCTCCGTGCAGCTCAGGGCAGCGAGTGCTTCTGGTGGCTTCAAGAAAAGTGCAGGAGAAGCTCACGCCCCTCTAGAGTGCCAGGGATGGGTTTCTTGCGTGCGTCCCTTTTATCTGGCGCGTCCCTTTTACCTACTGTGCACCTATTTTATAGGACTGCAGAACTGCCCCCTGCAGCCACACGGGCGCAGCCATAAAGTCCCACATCAAAGCAAGGTTTAGCTTCGGTTCCCAGAGCTGAAGGTGTGGAAGTGCTGGAGATTCATCCCACTGCAGACCTTCAGCTGATGCTGTTTTTGTGCTTCCCAGCTTGGTATTTTTGCTTAATGGTATTTGACCCAGATGAAATGTTCACCATCCTCACAGCCTCTTTTCTACCTGGTGTCCTCTGCTGGGTGAGGGGCCAGGGGTTAGGGTGTTTGGCTCTGCCTCTGCTTCTCTGCACAGCACTGGGTGAGATAGTGAGATACTTCCCCTCCCTCACCAGCCTTCAGGTCACAGACTTTTTCCAGCTGTTTATCCAGCTCCTTCCCGAGGTGGGAGTAGAGGAAAGGGACCCTGGGCATTATTCCTGTGCAGGGGGAACATCACAATCACCAGCTGACTGAAGCACAGTTTTATTTGAAGCCAAGAGGCAAAATATATCTACAAGCCTCTTTGCAGGCACATCTGTAGATAGCAGCACGTGTGTGCAGGACTAATCTTTTACAAGAGTCACCTCAACACCATCCCCACCTGGAGACTGCTGGATACTTCCAGCCACAAAGAATGCCATCCTCAGCCATTTGCTCCATGCAGGAATAATAAAAAAAAAAAGGAGTCAAGCATTTTTTTCTCTCAATCAAGCCACGTTTCAGTAATCTTCCACCTTCTCTGGAATTTCTTCCTTTGAAGACCTTCTCTCTGCTTGCTCCTGTCCCCATGTTGAGGGTCCTCAGCTGGCGTTCATGGCAGAGGTGGGCTTCTGTGGACCCGGTGGGTGAGGCAGGCACTGGGGCTGCTGACTGCAGAGCACTCAGCAGCAGGAGCTACCTGAGCATGGTCAGGTGCTGGTGTGGAAACCTGGACTAGGAGACCTCCTCACAGCTTCTTGCATCTGCAGGAACCCATTCATTTACATCAGGTCTTGCACGGTGCACCTACATTTGGGAAACTCCCTCCCTCAGGGGTCCCCCTCCTCCCCCAAATCCTCCCTTTTATTTTCAGGGGATTCAGGGAAGAATGAAGTGATTTAGCAGGCTTGTTTTCACAGGGATATTTTTCCTCGTGTGGTAGGCAGTGTTACCAGGCTGTTCTGTACATGTTGCCATGTGCCAGAGCGTAATTGCCTTCCACATGCATCAGCCTTTGGCTAATGTGTTTTTTATGGCAACCAGGAGAGCTGGATTTGGTGAGTCTCAAAAGTGCACCTGGTGCTTTATGGCTTGAAATCACTGCCTTCCTCTGAGTCATGGAAGTGTGTGTGTGTCTCTTTTCATGTCAGATTGCTGAAGAACGGCATGAAAAAAAGCTTACGCCAAGCCAGAGTTAATCAGTTGAGTGTTAAGCTGCATGTGAGCTTGCCTGGTGGGCTTCAGGTCCATGTGGGATGGGATCGGTAATGAATACGGAGCAGCAGGCAGAGCTGTTGAACTGCACGTCCAAAGCTGAGGTCCTAAACTTAGATCCCAGTACCTAAATGTGTGTGTGTGTGATGAGGAGGTTCAGCCCTGAGCATGGGGACACCTGGGGAAACCTTCACCTGAAATCCTGGCCTTTTTTGGTGTGGATTTTGGGACATCTGGGTTTGAAAATGCAAGTCAACCAAGCAGAGATATCCAACATTTGAACGCTGCAGGGACAGCTAAAGGTACTTGACATCGGTGGTCTCCAAACTGGGAATTTCGTGCATCCTGCACTACCCGGCACCACCGTTCCCAGCCACCTGCCTGTGCCAGGAGCTCCTGGCGAGCCGAGTGAGCTCCGCAAACTGGGAGCTGGCAATAAGGGGCTGGAAAAAAAAAAACAAAAAACGGGACTGAACTGCAGGGAGCACTGAAGGTCTGAGCCTTGGATATGGAAAGAAGAGAAATAATATCAAAGGAAATCACATAAGTGGAAAAAGAGCCCCCTGGGGCAGCCCAGGCAGCAGCAGGTCTGTCTTGTTCGTGTTTTCAGAGAAGTTAGAGGTCAGCCGAGCTTGATAACGAGGTAATACAGAAAATCCATCACTGAGCCTTGGGGGACTTGCGGATGCGGTTCTCATCAGAATAAACGACTTTAGATGCTGCCCGGCAGAGGAAACAACAACGGCTCTGCCTCGCAAACCCAGCCGGTCCTCTGCGAGGAGCTGGGGGCAGGGTGCGGGGCCGGGGGCTCTGCTCCCCATAAACCCCAACTCCGGGGGCTGCTGCGGCATCTTTCTTGCTTCCCTCCCCTCCAGCCTCGGGCAAAAAGCAGCTGGGCAGGCAGGGACAGAGATTTTCCCCGTGGAAAAAAAAAAATCAGTGCCTCGTCGGGGGGCGTTTTGCAGCATGTGGGGGGCTCCGGGCTCGGGGGCGGCGTGGAGCCCCCGGGGAGGACACGGGGAGCCCCTGGGGAGGCTGCGGCCGGCCCGGAGCCCCCTGCCCGAGGGAGGTGGAGGGCATAGGAATACCTCCGACAGACAGGTGGGATTTGAAAGTCCCCTTAAAGGTTAAAATTAAAATGCTGTTCGGCTGATGCCCCCCGTCTTTTTTATTTTTATTTTATTTTTTTTCGCTATTGAGACTTTTTGGAGACCCTGAGCCCCGCCAGTCACTTTTGATGGCGCAGCTCCCCGTGAAATGTATCGCAGAGCCGGGTTAAAGCGGCTGGGAGGTGGAAGGGAGGCTGCCCGTAACGAAATATCCCAGACAGGAGCGCAGAAAAAAATTAAAAATTCCCCTTAAGAACAAACGCTCCCCTCCTGCCCCTGCGCGGCTGGGAGCAGGGGGGAGATGGCAAAGCCGATCTTTTCGGGTCGATCGGTTGTGGGGCTGTTCCGGGAGCCCACATCGTTTCGCACCCCGTGTGTGGACCCGGGATTAGCGCTGACCCCGGTACCCGCGGCCGTCTGTAGGGCCGGCGGCACGGCCGGCAGCCTGTGCGTATGGGACCCGGCCGCCTGGTGTGGTTCACTCCAGGGTTTCCCTTTCCCGAATCGTTTCAGGGCGGTTGGGTTTTAGGTACTTTTTCTCGTTTTGATTCGTTTCTGCAGCCGATCTTGCGGGACGAAGCCGCAGCTAGCGGCCGCTCGGCGAGCAGAAGCCGCTGGCAGATGGGGACAGATGGGGGCACGGGGGCTCTGCCGCTGTCACTTCGCTTTGGGCCCCCCCACCTCAGCTGGGGCTCACATTTCCCCTAAAAACACTCCGAAATAGGCTCAGGAGCGGCTGCTGGGGACGTGCTGCTCCCCGAGCGGCTGCGGCTCGGGATGCGCCTTGCCGGAGGGGGGCGGGCCGGGGGGAGCGGTGCAAGGCACCGGTAGCATCCCCCAAAAAACTCCCTTTAATGCACCCCCCCCGGCCCCATGAGGAGTTTCGGAGTGGACGCGGAGGCGCTCAGGGGCGCACGGCTCCCCCCGAGCCCCCATTTCCCGGGGGCTGCCCCCGGAGCTGCCCTCCTGGGAGGGGATGGGGACCGGGCAGGGTGCGGGGGGGCCCCGGAACAGCCCCCCCGTTGGTTTCGCTTCGAGCCCCGCTTTCCTGGCGGGGCCAGCCTCGGGGCAGGGCGCTTTGGTGGCAGCCACCCTGAGGGGCACGGGGGTCGCGGGGGGTGGCGGTGCCGCTGTCCCCGGTGCCCGCTGTCCCCTGCCGCCGGTCCTTTTGCTGTCCCCAGCCTCTGGTCCCTTCGCTGTCCCCTGCCCTCCCCTCGCAGAGGCACAAGGCGCAGCTCCCGGCGGTTCCTTTCTGCCCCGAAACGCACCGAGTGGAAATTCAATCGCCCGCTTGTGTGTGTGGTCGAAATCTCTGGCAGCTGCTTCGGAATTTTTTATGACACTTTCGTTTATGTAGGGGAGTCATAACTATTATTTTACTTAATAAAAATGGAAACGGGCTCGGCTTTTTTTTTTTTCCCTCCCCTCTTCCATTTGTTCTTCCCATCGCCTCGCCGCCGGGCTGGCTAACGGGGAGCTCGAGCAGCGGCGGTGGGAGAGATGGAGAGGAGCCGGAGCGTTTCTCCGGGCTGGCTGAGAGAGGATGAACAGAGCCGCTTGCACACACGCGTGGAGAGGAGAGGGGGATGCGTGTGCAGGTTGTCGGCTGGAGAAGGGTATAAAAGTGAAAGGACTCGGGGAAGCAGCTCCCCCAGCCCGCTTCGCCCGCTTCTTCACCGATTTCTCCGGCCGTTCAGGGAAATCCTGCCCCGATCGCAGCGAGGGAGGAGGATGCGGCCGGGGCCGCGGCTCCGGAGCGGGAGGATTGCGGGAGGGATTGCGGGAGGGGTGCGGGAGGGGTGCGGGTGCCCGCTCGCGGGGGTTCCCCGGCGCACCGAGTCGTTAGGCTTTGAGTAATTGTGACCGGCATTTGGAAGCGGGGCCGCGCAGCTGTTTGGCCCGGCTCCCCGGTATTAGTGCTGGAGATTTTATCACCAAATGCTCGCACCTGTTAACAGCAGCGCCTGGCAATCCATCACCGCAGATTCTCACAGTGCTGAGCGCGGCCTTGGGGTGGGGGGGGGGGGGGGGAGGCGGAGCGGCACAGACCCCCCCTCCTCAACCACCAGCCCCCCGGCTGCAAGGGCTGAACGGAGCTGCCTGTTGCTGCTGGCAGAAAGAAGGAGCAGAAAACGGAGCACCCACCCGGCCTCCTCCCCTCCGAGGTGGTACCCGAAGGACTTTTTGGTATCCCCTTTTTGGCAGCCCCTGTCCCCTCTCTCAATTCCCCGCGCATCCCCCAAATCCGGGGGACGGAGACCCCCGAAAAAGCAGCGAGGCTCCGTGCTCGCAGAGCCTCTCCGAGCAAAACCCCGTGCGAGACGGGGACAGGAGGCTGGCACAGGCCCCCCCCCAAGTCCCCTCCGGTGGGTGACAGTGGCCGTGACCCCCAGGGGTGGCCGCAGGAGCCTTGCCCTCAGGGGGATGCTGCAGCTCGGGGCGAGCGGAGGACAGGGAGGCAGCAGAGAGGCTTTGGGAGGCAGGGGAGGAGGAGAAGGATGGGAGGGGGGGGATTGCCCTCCCCCGGGGTGCCTGGGGGGAACAGCGGCACCGGGCCTGGGGAGCCCCCGTCGGGAGGGGCTGCGGAGCTCGGGCACCGTCCCAGCACCCTGCGGGCACCCGTGGCTACCGCCCGGGGCGAGAGGTCGCCGGGGGCTGCTCCTCGCACCTGCCGGGCCCCGGCATCTCCCCCCGACCCCCCCGGGGGAGGCGGCGTGCTGGGTGCTCGGTGACGTGTCTCTGACGTGTCTCTGACGTCAGACCGAGGAGAAGGGGAGCGGGGACCCCCAGATTCATTCGTGGTCCCCCCCAGAGGGTCCCAGCGGCACAGCCCCCAGCCCCGGGAGCGGGCAGCCGTCGAGGGGGGCGAGGGAGGGAGGCGGCCCTAAAGGACCCTGCGAGCCTCCGGCACGGCTGGAGGTGTGGGGCGGGGGGGGGCTCTACGTCCCACAGCTCCTATCCCGGCCAGCCGTGACCGGGGTTCCGGGGGGGGCGGGCAGCGCCTTTCCTCGAAAGCATCCCCACCGGGGGGGGGGGGGGGGTCCGGGCAGGGCCGGGAGCCCCTCGCGGCCCCCCCCGGGGCTGCGGGCTCCACGTGATGCCGGGGCGGCCCTATAAAGGCCTGGGGAGCGCTCGCAGGAGGCGCAGAGTGGGAGCGTTTCCACCGGGTCCCGGCTCGGGAGGGGTGGGGAGGGGGGGAGCCGCCTTCCCAACTTCTGCCCTCCCCCCTCCCTCTTCCCCCGCCCCCCTCCCCTCCCTCCCTGCCCCCCCCAGCCCTCCCAAAGACCCGCCGCCCCCCCCCCACTTTACACACACAGATTATTTTTTTCCCCCCCCTTTCCCCCGTCTCTCCCTCTCTCCTTTTATCATCATTATCGCTATTATTTATTACCGCCGCTCTCCAGCTCCCTGCCCGGCCCCCGGGCGTCCCGGCCCGTCCCTCCTCCTCCTCCCCCTGCCCCGCGTCTCCCCCCCCCCCCACCCCCCTTTTCGGCCGCCCCTCCCTCGGCAGCCACCACCCCGCAGCCGTGCCGGGGCCCCGCCAGCAGCAGGCGGCGCGGCCAAGCGGGGCTCGGAGCGGCGGCGAAGCGGGGCTCGGTGTCCCGGCGGCGGCCGCAGCCCCTCCGGCACGGCCCCGGGCCCATCCCGGGAACCGCCGCTAGGTGGGGGGGGGAGCCCGGCCTCCCTCCCCGGCCTCCCAACAATGACTTTGGGCAGCAGCAGCGGAGGAGGCGGCGGCGGCTGCGGGATCATGTCCGAGCGCTCCCCGGAGGAAGAGCCGCTCTCCGAGGTGGAGGACGCGGATATCGACGTGGTGGGCCCGCCCCAGGACGGGGGCAAGTACAGCGAGGACGAGGAGGACGAGGAGGAGGAGGACGACGACGACGACGAGGAGGACGACGAGGAGGACGAGGGCGATCCGCTGGGGCTCGCCCTGCCGCGGAGCGGGGCCGCCAAGGGGCGCATGGGGGGGTCCCCGGAGCGCCTGTCCCCCGCCGGCGGCTCGGAGCCGGCGTGCGCCCGCGGCACCGCGCCCGGGGACAAGGCGACGGCCGGCGGCGGCGGCGGAGGGGGAGGCGGCGGGGGAGGCAGCGGAGGAGGCGGCGGCGGGGGGAAGAACCCGCTGGTGAAGCCGCCCTACTCGTACATCGCCCTCATCACCATGGCCATCCTGCAGAGCCCCAAGAAGCGGCTGACGCTGAGCGAGATCTGCGAGTTCATCAGCGGCCGCTTCCCCTACTACCGGGAGAAGTTCCCCGCCTGGCAGAACAGCATCCGCCACAACCTCTCGCTCAACGACTGCTTCGTCAAGATCCCCCGGGAGCCCGGCAACCCCGGCAAGGGCAACTACTGGACGCTGGACCCCGAGTCCGCCGACATGTTCGACAACGGCAGCTTCCTGCGCCGGAGGAAGCGCTTCAAGCGGCAGCAGCAGCTGCACCCGCCGCACCCCGAGCTGCTGCTGCGGGCCGGGGCCGCCGACCCCGCCGCTTTCCTGCCCGGTTTCGCCTACGGACACTACGGCTACAACTACGGCCTGCAGCTGCAGGGCTACCCCCCGCCCCATCACCACCACCCCGCCGGCGGCGGCGCCCCGGGCGCTTTCCCCTTCCCGGCTCCGCACTGCCCGTTACCGGCTCCGCCGCCTCCCGCCGCCTCCGTCTTCTCCGCCGCCTCGGGGCTGCCCTCGTTCCTGGGCGGCGAGCTGAACTGCAGGAAATCCTTCTACCACCCCCAGCTCAGCCCCAGCGCCCTGCCCGCCGCCCTGCTGCAGACCCTCAAGCCGGACCCCTCGCCCACCGGTGGCGGTGGCACGGGTGGCGGCGGCGGCGGTGGCGGCGGCGGCGGTGGTGGCGGTAACCCCTCCCGGCCCTCTTTTTCCATAGACAACATCATCGGGGGGGCCGTGCCCCCGCCGCCCAGCACCAACCCCAGCGCCGCGCCCGCCGCGCCCTACCCCGCCGGCCAGGCGGGCCCCCCGGCGCCGGTCCTGGCCATGCTCAGCCCCGCCTTGGCCCCGGCGCAGCCCCAGGTCGGCCTGGCACACGAGCCGCTCCTGCAGCCCGCGCAGAACTTTTCCAGTAAAATCACAAACCTTAGCAGCTGTCATTTTTAAAGCGGGCTCCGGCCAGGAGAAAAGGGGAAGGGGAGGAGGTGGTGGTGGGGGGGGGGGGAGAGGCGCAAACCAAACGGCCCCTTCCCAGCTCTCCTCGCCAATCTGCTCCCCTTCCCTCTGCCCCGCTCTCCCCCTTCCCCCCAACCTCCTCCTGTTGTGTTTTAAGGTAGGAAATATTTCCTCTTTTTTTTTTTTTTTTTTAACTTTATTTCCAGGCTCTGTGGCATCCAAATCTGTTTGTGTCTCTTTCCTCGGAGAAAAAAAAAAGAGAAAGAAAAATGAAAAAGAAAAATCGGGAGGGGGAAAATAACAATATTTCATCCCGCAAGCGCCAAAGCGTATTCAGAAAGTGGCCGTAACATAAGCTGGGACCTGAGCGAGCAACGTCTTGCAGGGGGAGGGAGGGAAGAAGGGGTCTGGGGGTGAGAAAAGAAAGGTTTTAGGGTCCGAAATATTTTCTTTGAGAGCTGCGGGGCTTTTCTGCCAGGTCCCCAGATGCAGCCCGCGGGGGGACTTTGGGACGTGCCCGCTTTCGGTGCCCTCAGCCCCTCTCCCTGGCGGCTTTGCCAGGGGTGTCCCTCCTGCCCCTTCTCTCAAGGAAAACGTTTGAACGGCTCCATCTTATTTTGCAGTTTCTTTGAAGCTTTGGTTTTAAAAGGCACTGTTTAGGGTTTCTTTATTTTTAAGGAAAAGAAAAGTCGGTGAAACTCAGGACTGCGTTTTTTTTTTTTAATTATTTTTCAATGAGACATTCAAATGCACGTTTAAATGAAAATCTGATCCGTCAGGAAGTTAGGAGAATTCCCGTACTGGTTTTTTTTTTTTTTTTTTTTTTTTTTTTTTCTTATCCCCCTTTTCCCACCTCCTCCACGCGTGGGTTTTTGGTGTATCGGTAATTATTTGTATATAGATTATTCGGGAGCTAATGAGCGGAGTCCAGTTTACCCTTCACTGGTTGTGCATCCGTCATATCTTATTTTATTGAGAGAATCTGTGAATAATTTGATGTGGAAAAGGCAACAGAATTTTGTCCGCCGGTGGTGTAAATTAATAAATGTTTGTGACCTGGTTAAAAAAAAAAAAAATGAAAAAATGAAAAAAAAAAATCCCAATGGTTCTTTGCGATGTCCTTTGTCACGCTGAGAGCCGAGAGCCCCGCTCGGGCCTCGGGGAAGCGAGGGGCTCCCAGGTTTTGGCGAAATTCAGCGAGTTTCGCTGCTCCGGCTGCCGAAGGGGGGGTCCCGCTTTAGGTCCCTCTCCGCGGGCGGCGAGGAAGGGCTCCCCCCCCCCAGATTTTGGATTTGGTTTTATTTCTTTGGTCGCTTTTTGGTTTCCCCCCCCATCGCACCGCTGCTCGCTGAAGCCCTGCTCCTTTCCATGCCTTTGCCGGGGGAGGCGGTGGGGGCCGGGAGGAAGGTTCCTAACCCCTTCTCTCCCCGCTCCGCGTCCCTTTATTTTCTTTGGAAAAGTTGACCCAGGAGAAAAGAAGTTGGAGGATTCCCCCCCCCCCCTCCATGTACACACGTCCCCCTCGGGCCTGCAGCATTTGAATGACCGAATGCAACTTGATCTCCGCCTAAATTTTGCAACGACTTACAAAGTAAATAAACATCTTTAAGCGCTCCCCCCCCCCCCTTTTTTTTTTTTTTATTTATTTACAGGGACCAAACGCCGTTCGGTTTGGCTGTTGGCAGGGACCCCGAGCTAACGAATCCGAGGCCTTTCAGCCCCAGCAGCGAGCGAGAGAGCTGGAGGAGAAGGAGGCAGAGCAAAGCGGAGCCGTCCGAGGCGGGGAGCGGGGCACGGAGCCGCTGCGGGGCTCGGTGCGGGGCCCGCCGGGCGCAGGCAGGAGCCGGGCGGTGTGCGCCGGTTGTGAGGGGGGGGGGGGGGCGGCGTTGCTTTTCTCTCTCCCCCCCTCCTTTTTTCTCCCCCTTCCCCTGTCTGTGCCACCCCGAAGCTCCGCGCAGTTTGTTGATGTTGTTCCCGAGCGTGCCGCCTCCCCGCAGCGAGCGGTCTCACATCTCCGCTTCACACACATTTGCTTTTGAAAAGCGATCTTCGTGTCCGGCACTTGGTTGTCTCCCTTTCATGTCCAGCTCCTACAAAAGGGGCTACAAGACTCGACATGGGAGAAAAGAGGAGGCCAATGAATCTATTTTCCAGATTGCCAAGCACATGGTTGGAAATTGAAGGGGCTTTTGTAGCATTTCCCCTTCCTCCCTCCCTCCCGGCTCCTTTTCTTTTGCTGCGCGCAAATTGTTCAATTGCTCTGGCAGGGGTGTTCCTGACAAGCTCATTACTAGAAGGTGCCAGACCCCTCCTCTCCCTCTCCCCCGAAGTCTTTGATGAAGTTAAAATGCGCTGATAGCTGCTCTCGGCTATCTTTGTTCAGCCTCCTTTAATAACCGAGCCTGCTTTGAGGAGACGGGAGCCGAGGGAAGAAAGCGATGTGCACTGAGGCTGGGTGGTTGCTGTGCGGCTGGAGGCGGGGGTGGCACATTTTAATATAAAGTAGCGATTTTTTTTTCCCCTTTATTTATTTTTTGGGGGCCTATTTGTTCGCTGAGCGTGTGCGGGAGGAAGATGAGCCGGGGGTGCGAGGAAGGGGATAAGAAATCGCAGCCGGCGCCCGTGGGCACGAAAACTCCGCGGCTCGCCCAAGCAGGGCTCGCAGGGGTCCTCCAAGCCGGTGGTCTCGTCTTTTGGAGGAGCCGGGGGGGGGGGAGGCTCTCGGCAGGGAACCGCTGTTTCCCCGGAGATCCCCCTGCCCCACACGGACGGGGAGGGGGCTCGGTGGTTTTGGGGCTGGGACACCTTCCCCGGGCGCCGCCGCTGCGGAGCCATTTGCGGGTTTGGGAGATGCGATCGCCGGCCAGGGTGGGCGCTGAGCTGGGGGGGGGTCCAGGGGCATCTCCCCCCGAACCGGGAGACCCCCGGGAGGACCCCCCCGGGCTCGGCTCGGCTCTGCCGGGCCCGCGGGAGATCTGCAAGCGCCGGCGCCGTTGTTTGGTAGTGGTGGGGGACATCCCCAAGCGGCTCTAACTTTAGGCGGTGTTTTGATTTTAGTTTATTTTTCACCCCTCCCTAAATTCCCCTAAAAGCACCCGAGCTCGTTGCGTGCCCCCCTTCCTGACAAAACGACGCCGCCTGCAAATATCTGCCTTGAGTGGCGAGCCGGGGAGGGGGGCATCGATGGGAATTCCCCCAAAACCGCTCCCCCCGGAGCCGGGGGCGGCAGGAAAGGGCCCGGGACGGCTCCTGGGGGGCCGGGAACTCTTCGCCCGGCTCGGCTCAGTTGTGCAGGGAAAATATTGCCTCGGCGAGGCAGGCCGGATAATGGCTCCTAATTACGGGGCTGGCTGGCTCCGCAGCTCCGATCTTCACGGGACATTATTTTTAAGCGTTCAGCGAGGATCATTTTTCACGCCTCGCTGCCTAAAGGAGGGCTTTATTTATTTACTGGGGGAGGCGTGGAGGACACCAGCAATAACCGAGCACTGAAAGGAAAATAATTAGCTCTTGCAGTCGCTGCTTTGGGGGTCCCTGGCCAAAAAGGCGACCTGGCATTTCCCTTCCCTCCCCTCCGTAGGATGCAGGCGAATCCCTCCGGTTCTTGCTGTTGCTTTCGGTGGATATTTGCCCGTGAAAAACCCAAGCAAAGCCTGGCCGGCGGAGGCTCGGCACCGGCCGCAGGGCCCGATCCTTTGCCGCCAGTTTGGGTTTTTCCCTTCTCCCCTTCTCGCTGTTCTCGAGCAGGGCTTGGGGGGCATGCAGCTCCCACCCCCTTTTCTCGCCGGCCTTGCTCGTACATCCGAGGAATTTATTTATGTATTTTTAACGTGTCCCCTCTCCTTTCTGTGCGTCCTGCGAAGGGCTTGTAACGAAACCGCGGTGCTCTGCGCGTGTTCATCCCGCCGCAGCTTTCCGCGTGTGCGCAGAGTAAGGAGCGGGCACGGCTGGGCGGAAAAATCAGGGGGCTCTCCTCTGATTATCTAGGCAGAAAAAAACTATCCCGGCCCGGAATATCCCCGCCAGGACGGGGGACAATTTCTTTTTCTCTTTTCACTCAGCCAAGCCCGTGTTGAGACCGGCTCCGAGCCGCCGGGTGCGGGGTGCTGGGACCCCTCGTCCCCTCGCCTCCTGCCTCCTCCCCTGGCACCTTCTGCTCTCCATCACTGCCGATCGGCAGAATTAGGGAAGGTCAAGATCTTATTCCTTTCCCCGGTAGCTTTTTTGGTTTTCTCTTTCGAGTTCCTCGCAGCCCCGAATGAAAATAAATGAACCTGGATTGTAGAAACTACCTTTGAGTACTAAGAGCATCTCATCCCCTAGCTCGGTGCTTTCTCCGTTGCTGGCCGGGCCGTTTCGCTGTTACTGCGGAGAAACTCTCGTTTTCACGGTGGATTTAAGATTTAATAATAACACCCAGTCTCCCCGTGCCCCGGCGTCCGACCTAAAAACACTTTCCCGCCTCCTAACTTTGGGAAATAGCCGCCACCAGCATCTTCTTCCCTTCCCCATCTCCCTTTCGTTTCTTTCATTTCCCGGCTCAGAAAGCAGAGAAACGAGGTTTTTAAGAAAATCTCGGTTTCCAACACGGGGAGGGCGGGAGAAGCTGTAGCAGCCGACTCAGCCGCAGCAAAATTGCCCTGGAAATGAAGTCTGTGCTTTCGGAACACGCCCGGAGATGCCTGCGGTGGGGACGGGCCCCGCGCTCGCCCCTCCGGCTGCCCCTCGGCCCAGGGGACGCTGCCGGGGCCGCTGCGTGGGGCGGCCGCGGCCGGGAGAGCCCGCACCGGGGGGCACCGCGCTTCTCTTTCTTCCTCCTCTTTCCTCATTCTTGTCCTCTAGTTGTTTTTCTTTCTTTCTTTCCATTTTTTTCTCTATACGTTTTTCTTTCTTTCTTTCTTTCTTTCTTTCTTTCTTTCTTTCTTTCTTTCTTTCTTTCTTTCTTTCTTTCTTTCTTTCTTTCTTTCTTTCTTTCTTTCTTTCTTTCTTTCTTTCTTTCTTTCTTTCTTTCTTTCTTTCTTCTTTCTTTCTTTCTCTCTCTCTCTCTCTCTCTCTCTCTCTCTCTTCTCTCTTTCTCTCTTCCTTCTCTTTCTCTTTCTTCTCTTTCTCTCTTTTTTTCTTTCTCTCTCTCTTTTTTCTTTCTCTCTTTCTCTCTCTTTCTGTCTCTCTCTTTCTTTCCTTTCTCTCTCCCTCTCTCTCTTTCTCTCTCCTTCTCTCTTTCCTTCTTCCTCTCACTTACTGCTTTCTCTTTCACTCTATTTCTCTATTTCTTTTTTTTTTTCATTTCTTCATCTCTCACTTTGTCCTCTCTTGCTTCTCTCTCTTCCTCCCTTTCTGTTTTCCTGTTTATCACCCTTACTCCCTCTTTTCCTCTTTTCCTCTTTTCCTCTTTCCCTCTTTCTTTTTCTTTCCTCCCTCTTTCCCTCTTTACTTTTCTCTGCCTCAGTCTCTCCATTCTCACCAGCTTCATCTCGTGGTCATCGGGAGCCGCTTTGCCGTTCTCCCCAGGGTTTTTCCAGCTCTGTCCCCCTCCCGTGGGACCCCGGGGATTGCCCGCCCAGCCGCACCGGGGGGGTCTCCCCTCTTCCCCGGGAAGAGAGCAGCGAGGATCCCCCGGGCTCCGCGGTTCCTCTGCCCTGCAGGATTGTGGCCCAGTTCCTGCCCAGAGCCCGGCACCCTGTCCCGGGCTGCCGGTCCCCCCGGGGCATATGTGCCTTCCTTGGCCCTACCAGCTTCTGCCATCAGGCCACACGCAGTGGAAACAGCCCTGGAGAAGTCCCAGGTGCCTCCCGCTTCCCCAAAAAATTGACCTCCAAAGCTGTGCTCGGGTCCCCAGCCCTCACCTCCGCCGCCCGCGCCCCAGCCCACCCGCGGCTCTCCCTCCCACCCGCGCTGCCCCCCACGCCGCCTTTGCGGGGCTTTCCCGTGCGGGTGCAGCCTCCCCGCGGGCTCCGTCCTTCCCATTGACCGGCCCCTGGCTCCTTGTACCGGCGGGGGGGAGCAGGAGGGGGCGGGAGGCAGCGTCCCCGGGCCGGGAGAGCGCCCGTGGGGGGCCACTGGGGGCTGCGGGCAGCACCAGCCCCCCGGGCGGCTCCTCTCCCACCAGATCGCGTTGTGCTATTAAATAAGGCGCACCCCGGTTCCCCAAGCCCTTGGCAGCAACAGGTGACACTGCGAGCCGGGACGGGCAAAAAAAAAAAAAACCATTCCCGCAGGGTCTGATCGCACGTTTCCAACCCTTCCTCATCATCCACATCCTAATGCTCTCCTCGGATGGACGGTCCCCTGGGGCAGAGCCGGGGCTGCTCCCCCCCGCTGCCCGCGATCGGGTTCTCCCGGCCCGGCCCGGCCCGGCTCGGCTCGGCTCTGCCGGGCAGGCGGCCCCGGGCAGCCCGGAGCGCGGCCCCGATGGCCTTTCCCAGGCACGACCCTGCGGGCACCTCGCT